TTTTTTTAAATAAAAATTTCCCCCCCCCCCCCCCCCCCCTTTACTCCTTCAGGAAAACAGGTTAGAGGCTTCTGTTTGGTGCACAAGTTTAGAAATGGGAATAAAGAAATATGAAGAGAGCAGGCATAGGTTTTCCTTGTTTAGGGTCTGGTCTTGATCTTCATGAAATCAGTGATAAGACACTGTTTTCTGTGGGACCAAGTCAATTCCCAGCCAGGCAGGAACTCAGTTTCATTATTTAATGAGATTAACAGGAGAGACAGTCAAAAGCTGTGCAAGTAAAGCATGTATTCTTACAACTATGTGCAATGACTTGACCAGATATTTAAAATGAACAAAGCCTCAACAATCAGGCTTTTCCTTTGAAATTCTGGGGCTATGGGTTAATTGCTTTAGAAAGTTTAACTGAGCAGCTGTGCATCTAAGTTATAGCTAAAAAGAGGCTTGCCTTTGTTGCATTAAAACCTATCAGCTTTTTCCTAGTGGTGACTGAAATACAGGATTAATCAGATCTCTAGTTTGTGGAAACCCACAATGACTCTCTGATGTCCCCTCAAAGTGAGAATCTCTTCTGCATTCAACAGAATGTGAAAGTAAGGTAATTTTATACTAACCTACCTCTTTTTGTGTATGTGGTGTGGCTAGAAAGGACAAAGATAGGTTACTAGTACCTGGAGAATTTTTCATGGAGAATAATTAATACATTCTAAAGTGATTAAGAAATTCTGGACTTTTAGTTACCTTCACTGAAAGCAACATTTGCTGCATATGATTTCTCTAAATATATTTCATGGTACCTAATTCAATGTAACTTTAATCTTTGAAATATTTTATGAAGGTTCCAATGCAGTCTTAATTAATGTTTTTATTATTCTTTTTTTCCAGAGAAAGGTCTAAAGATTGCTGGTTGAAATTGACTCAGTCGCATCACTTTTAGAAAAGTGTTATTAATAGCTAATCTTATATTTTAAATCTGCTAACAAAATCTTTTTAGAGGAGTGCTAAAACAAACCATTATTTGCACTAGTAAAGCAGCATTGCCTGTGGAAGAGATTACTTCCTTTTTGATGACAAGCTTTATTTGGCAAATCTGTACATTTTTTTAAAAAATTAACATTGAGCAGAGATTTTATAACGTATTAGAATTACAGGTGATCAGAAGATAAGATTAAGGAAGCAAAATTGGGGAAAAATAAATGATTTGTAGGTATTAAGGAAGAACAG